GGTTTAGATGTGGTTGACCGGTACTTTTTGCAGTCAACGGGGTGCTGTGGGCGGTTGGGGTATTCATTGTTACCTCTTTGTCAGTCTCCTATAAAATACAAGTACATACATATGAAAAGTTAATTTTATTTCCTGAAAGACAAGAAAACGCATGGGAGTTATAATCATGTAATAGAAGGAACGGATCCAGAATGTTTTAAGGGGAGTAATTCTTACAGGGTAACCAATGCCGTTACCAGTCTAAAATGTTTTCTGGCATAAACAATATTAATGCATTCCCTCGCCACCCCTGGACCAGACCCTCAGGATATGTGCTAAAACCACGCCTTTATTTAATGCTACGAAAGACATCGACTCACCAAAGACATACACTTTATCTTTGCTTGAACAGTGTAATCGTCTAGAAGGACCCTGCATTCCCGGCATATTGCTGTATAACAATGAAATATTCACGTGGCATGATTTCAGTATGTCAGACTTTATGGCGTCAAGTTAACGTCTTCATTTGACATTGCTTGAATTTTCACATGCAGCTATTGCAGCATGCAATTTAGCGGGAAATACATTTAYTTTCATACTGAATTGGCTTTATTTCATTCCTTAGTCAACAAAAAGAGTAACATATATACTAACCTGAACCTACGGGAACAAAGACACCCGTCATCTGCAAGATAGTATTCGATTTTTCTTTCCCGATCCCGCGATCAGCTTTGGGCCATTTTGCTTTCTTTTCGCCAGGCCTTGACAGCTCCTGAGGAACTCGGCAGCGCTGGTAACTTCTGCGCCAGCCTATACTTAACAATGAACGATGACCTGGACAAATTGTCAACTCTGCAATATTGTCTGGAACCGAGAGTATCGAAGCTCGAGCCAAAAGTAGTTTAACCTCAGAATCGACATCCTGTATACCAAAAGCTTTCTTATGCCCGGATATATCCAATTCACATGAACTCAGTGGTATCACGACCATCTTCTTGTTTCGATCTCTGGGATCATAACCGCAATTTCCGCCTACGATTTTCTTAAATGAACAGCTGACTTCCATTCCTAATCCCTCATGAACGAAAGCCGCTTTACTAGGAAGTACTAGTAAACGTCATTTTCCCATGTCACGTGGTTGAACGCTTGTCCAGGTATTTATGAGCACATCATGACAAGTAGGAATTGACAATTTCAGTATTTTTTCTTAATGTTTCCCATTCTTGGGTTTATCTTTTGCCATGATTCAAGTAAGCAAGTTCTTCAAATTACAAATTAGCCTCGGGTATCAGCGAGGTAGTTAAGTAACTACAGTAAAATCCTTTGGTACATTTTTGTTCAATACAGTTGTCAGGCCAACAAGGAGTCAGTTTGTTATTGCTTCGCAAGTCGAGAAAATAAGAAATGATTCGAAACTTACCTCGTATCAAAACCTGGAAGCCCGCTACATTCAGCTTTTCACCCCCCGCCCCCCTTCCCCCACGGGACGWTAGGTCACGCAATCAATAGTACTGATCCCAAGTTCCGATAAACGTATCACAACTGATTCTGAAAATGGAAGTAAAACTGTACAGAATTAGCAAGAAAACATGTAAAGCAAGTAGGAAACGTCTTTCTGTAATATTGCTTTGACATTAGTCGAATTGTAGGAGTATTTTCAGACCATAAAACATATTTTGAAATCTACTCGTTGAAAGCACTATGCTAATTAGAAACTGGGTAGTTCTTACTCAAAGTAAATCAAAGGAAATCTCGATTCTTAAGCTTTGATATTTTGAAGTTAACTCAAAGAAACACTAAGAAAGTCGTTGGAAATTAAAACCTGTCCGTTTTAGCAAAATTATAGACTGATTTTCGTCCTAATTTCAAAGGCTCCAAACACAATGTCATGGGGCGGTTTCTTCTAAAAACCAGCATTATTCACTCGCTTGTTTTGACCGCTGTGGAAATTTCCCCAAACT